CCACGACCACGTGTGTCAGCAGGGAAAATGGCCACGGATCCTGTTCGTCACCTGAAGTGGAGTTCGTGGACGGAAGGAAAATTTTGCGAATGGTGCTGTTCGTGACCTGAATTGGTCGTGAACAGAAGCGTTCGTGACTCGAGGTACCACTGTACATACCTAAATAATAATATCTTCCAAGGTGCTGCTGGTAGAAAAGATATTAATATACAGGGGCATCTTCAAGGTGCTAGCTGCCCCCAGGGTTGGTTGCCCCTTTTCTCGCCCCATGCAAGTTGGCAGAGCCAGGTCTTAACTGCTTTCCGGCAGGTCAAGAGAGTAGGGGCCTGCCTCACCTCTGGGGGAAGGGTATTCCATAGGGCCGGGGCCCTGGCACAGAAGGCTCTCCTTCTGGGCCCCACCAGTTGACATTCTCTCATCAACGGGGTCCACAGATACCTTTTCTGCTTGACCAGGTGGGACGGGGGTGAGACGGTCCTTCAGGTAATCTTGCTCCCCACAAGTATTCAGCAAACTTTTAGGACAGTGCTTAGCAGAAGCTATGTATGTGTGATAGAGTCTTCCAGTTATATGTTCAAAATAACAGTAACCACAACAATAATGATAATTTATTAAACTTATTTACCACCCAACTCACAGCGACTCTGGGCAGTGTTATATTATATTGTAATATTATGGTATTTTTGTGCAGATATATAGCCTTCAATCAAAAATTTGGCAACATTTCAGCTCTCCGAATTTTTAGGGTTCTGAGAACTTTAAAGGCAGTTTCTGTAATTCCAGGCAAGTAGCAGTTTTTATTGCTTATATATACAATTTACAAACAACCTTTTAGTTAAGGATTTAAAGAATCAGATGCTGCCTTTAACTTGTGGAGGAAAAGTGGAATATAAATGTCACAAATAAAATAATAATAATAATAATAATAATAATAATAATAATAATAATAAAAAATATCCTTAGGAAAGTGATCTGTACATCTTGGAAGTTCAGCTCAAAAGAGAATTATGGTAATAATGTGTTCTGCAAAGGGGAGTCACCTCTGACTGTAACTGGAACATAATATCTATATTAGTTTAAGGGTTACTGACAAACATATAAAAAAATAATCACAAAACAGAGAAAAAGAACTGGTCCACTTTAACATAAAGCTAACCGATTGTATTTCTACCTGATAAAATTTCTGTTATTCTGGGAAACCTGGAATTTAACTCCCACTATCAAACCTTGGCAACAATAATCAAGGAGCTGTTATTATGGCCTGAAAAAAACAGCTAGTATGAACTCAGTGGTCCAAATCATGTCATGCTTAAATGGACTTTAAAGAGGCACCAGAAGGTTAAAGAGAGCTAGTTCAAATCTGAATCTTAACATGAAAACTAATATAGATATTAAGTTCCTGTTACAGTCAGAGGTGGCTGCCCTTTGCAGAACACATTATTACCATAATTCTGTTTTGAGCTGGACTTCTAAGATGTACAGATTACTTTTCTAAGGATATTATTTATTTATTATTATTTTATTTGTGGCATTTATATTCCACTTTTCCTCCACAAGTTAAAGGCAGCCTCTGATTCTTTCCCCTGCTTCCCATTTTATCCTCGCAACGGTGCTGTGAAGGACATTAAAAAAAGCAAATACTTTATTTATTTATTATACACACGCGCAAGAAAAAGTTGCTATACAGCTTCATGGGTAAGAAAGGATTTTAGTCTTCTTCACCATTGTTTTCTCCTGTAGTTTTTATCTTGTAGTATCATTCTTTAGGTAATGTTGATGTTTCCTCTGCTGTAGGGCTGAAAGTCATTATATCTTCACTCCTTCAGTCAGTGAAAAAACTTGCAAATGTGATGCTGCTGACAGTTTTCTCCTTGGCTGTTTTTGCCCTGGTTGGCCTTCAGCTCTTCATGGGTAACTTAAGAAATAATTGTGTCCCCTGTTCGTTTCTTCCTGAAAACCTCATCAGGAACAAAAATGATTGTTTAGTAAAGAGTCCAGGTAATATATATCTTCACCCTCTTTTGGTAAGCTGTATATCATAATTGTTTTGAACCTACGATAGTTAACACCATTTATTTGTGAACCATGTGGTAAACACTCAGTTAACTAAAAAAATCTGCAAATTAAGAAATGTAAAATCATTAAATCACAGAATTGTGGAGTTGTCAAGGCAGTCTTCAGTTTCTTTCTCACTCTTTCTTGTTTTCCTGGGGTAAGCTCATGTTGTACTATTGACTGCCAGATACTTCTCCAAGGTCATATCTGTGCTCTTCTACAGGAGATGGAGAACCCATAACCTGTACTTGTACAGATCTTACGGTGGGGGAGTTTTTCCTTATATAGAAACAAAATATTCATTATTCTCATTATTTCTGGTTTTACATCATATCTATTTTGTTAGTTTGTTCATTTCCATATCATGGTCCTTATCATTTCCATGAAATTGTGTCTTACAAACAATGGAAGACAAATCTTCTTTTCACTGTCTTTATTTCTGT